AAGAACAATGGTAAAATTGGTTGAAGATCATTGAAGTATTCTCGGTATAATATAACCAGTAAAAAAGAAGAGTATAACGAGACACGATTCTGTTTGCTACAATATAAGCGTTGTTGGCTTGACCACATAATTTGGAGAACGGTAGGTATGTATGTATGTCTACCTTAGGTTCGCGTGGAATCTTCGAGAAGGTATTTCGAGTTATGCGATCACACCCGAAACAAATAATCATCCATTCTCTAACACGTCTTTCTCGTTGCAAGCACTTCGATTGTTTGTATTAGAAATAGAAGTAGGATAAATTTAGATTCAAATTTTACAATCAAAAATCATACCTAAACTGTATGATCAGTTAGTTTGTTTTCATGCATATTTCAAGATAAAGTAAACATTTATTAAGAGATTTATTAGCATAATGTTAATTGTAATCAATTGTTAAAAAATTTTAATTTTCAATTCTTCCATGTTGCAAAAAAATGATATTTTATATTTAAACCTATAATTTTCTTCAACATCGTGTCGACAATACACCAATTCATAATGAATAAAGATGATAATAATAATGGCTCATATTTATGTAGCACTGGTGTTATAAATTAAATAGAATATAAGTATACATATATAGAGAAACCGAAAATTATAGAAATTCGGCGCTCGTGCGTATTGAAAATTATCGGTTGAACAACCGTGGTAGAGTTTATTAAACAGTAACAGAAGAAGAAGAATAGGCTTGAAACCGCAGTCCAGACGCTCGAAAAGGGGTAAAAAGAAGGAATCAACTAAGAGAGAGGGGGGGGGAAAAGAACAATGTACGATCAAAGTTGAAGAAACGAAAATAGGGTGTACCAAACATAGAAGAAAGAGAGAGAGAGAGTAAACTTCATCGTGACGAAGAAACCCGCTGTTATTACCTTCTAATATCATGGGGTATTGTGCCCCCAGTGAGAAAGCTCAAACGATATAAAAGAAAACGTGCTGAGGGCTCGTCGTCTCGAAAAAGGAAGTAAATAATTTCAAGCGGAAAACAAAAAGTGAGGACGTGCGACGATCAGGTCCGACACTTCTTTTCTTGAAATTCTTTTCAACGGCACGACAGTGTTCCTCCCCCCTCCCCCTCCCCCTGTCCCGCGTTCTATTCAATCTCACTTTTAGCTCACGCTAGGGGTGCCTTCTCCTAATCACTGAATTTTACCAACTACCGAGATTAGCGTTGTTAGAAATTCAGATGAGCCAATGTTACGACGTGCACGCGACGCGATAAATCAGAGACAAAAACGTATAAGAGACTTCAACTTTTTTTTACTGTCTTCGAAGATTATTTCAAATCTAAATTATTTACAATTAGACGACGACAATGTCTTCTGTAATCTAATTATTATAATAAAATTCGTAACAGTTGACATAGAATTTTGAAAGCATTATAAGTAGTGGTATCTTATTACTGAAATAATAATCCATAAAGAATAACAGGAATAACTTTATATAATGTCCTAAATATTATAAAACATTTATTCATTTGGACAAACTAAATTTACAAAATCGTTCGATCCTTTTTTTTTTTTAAATTATTATTTGAAGGAACCCAAATTCGGAATAAGAGAATGCGAATGTAAGGTTCGATTTTAAAGATGATGATCGTTTGTCCGTCCGTTCGTTCTCTTTCTCGGTTTGTCTCCCGTCTTACGTCGCATTGCGGTCGATGTTCGATAATCGCGAACCGGGACGACGAACGATGGGGTTTGTTTTTGCTCGTGGCGCGCGCGCACTGCTACTACGTGCTCTGATAATTAAGACATTTCCATTTAGAGTTGACGTCGGTCAAAGATTGGTCAGAGTCCCACACCGCTCGTGGCCCAGACGTACGCTTTCGGCAGTACGATGAGATCGAGAAAAAGGTAAATCGTTATGCATCGTGTCGATAATTAATGGATGTATGATTGAAGACGAATCCTTCTTGGAACTATTAGAATTTCATTCGAATGCAAAAAAAAAATAGAGGAGTGAAAATCTTATTTGCGATATATTTCAATTTATCACACGCTATTGTATTATATAATATACCGAGAAAACTGTAAAAGAAAACGTAAGTAAATTTAAACTCAATCCATTATTCTTATATTTTCTTATTAAAGAATAAATATTGGCTTGGCGAGAAAGTAATTTCGGTTTTCTAGCGTAAAATAAAACTCAATTGTTTCTAAACTAATAGTTGTAAACAAAATTACACGAAATTTGTTTCTATAGCAACCTAAAAGTGTCAACTATCAAACCTCAAAAGAAAAAAATTCGAACATTAACAAAAGAATAACGAAACAAATATAACGCTATCTATTTGTGCAAGCCGAAATTACTTTCTTGCCAACCCAACATATATATATTTAAATTTTCTAATCATAAAAACAATTTAGATATTTACTATTATTACACGAAATATTAGTACTTTTAGTAAACTAGCACCCCATTCTAAAGAATTGTCCTTGTAATCTCTTTAACACGATTTTAACTTATACACACTACAAATATATATATATTGGGTTATCCGGAAAGTTCGTGCCGATTTTCGATAGATGGCATTAAAATTCTTTTGCTAAAAAAACCTGAAAAATTCTGGAAGCACGAAATTTTAAAGTTATTATATTATTATATTTATTATTTATTATTATATATTATTATATTATTTTTATAATTATATATACATTTATATAATTATTAATATATATGTATATATATATATATATATAGTTATATTCATTATGTAATAAATATATAACCCAAAAAAAACTTAAATGGTTTGAATTTCAATCTTCCGTCAAAATCGGCACGAACTTTCAGGACAACCCAATACCTATACAGTAATAACGTATGTATAAAATCTTGTTCGATATCGCTACTCGTGTTTAACCCTTTCAAGATTCCTGTTACCTATTGAAAGAAGACGAGAAATGAAACGTATTGGCGGTGATTCATTGCATCGGGCAGATGTTCATAATTTACGAGGATTCCCGCGCCAACTAAGTCAGCTACGGTCATAGCGCCAAATCCGAACCCAGAACCAGGTACGAGAGAACGTTGGCAGGTTCTTTTCTACCTCTGTGGCTTGACAAAATCATTAAGAGACTAAATCCAATAAAGGGGGATGGACCTCGTCGTACGGGGACACCCAGCATAAGAAAACATTCTCGGTGAGGCGATCGACTGCATCGTAATCGACATCAATGATATCTCGTCGAGAGTTAGCGAACCAAATCGGATTGTATCTCGACAGTCGTTTCCATGTTAAACTCTTACCGTATATAACACATATATCCTTCTTATGACACGTCTTTCTACTTGCTACTCTCTATTAAATTAGCGAAATTCCTTTGAGGAGTAAACGTACTACCCATCGGTAGAATAATTATTGCGTGTTTCGAATTCTTCTCTTTGAAAGTAACGTTTATAAAAAAGAATTATTATAGAATCGAGTCGTACAATTTATTACACCTGAAATAACTTTTTCGAAATAGGTGATATTTACTCAACGTATATATGTGCCCAATACCAATTACTCTTACGTCTTCAATTTACATTGAATTACATTTTCAACGAATTCTTGGATCTCTGAACGAAGTAGAAAAAAAAGGTACCTAAGAAGAAGAAGAAGAATTACGTATCGATGATCGCGTCAATCATAGAAAGAGAATAAACTGATCTCATCTTGGAAAAAGAAAGAGTATTGAGAATGGAAAAAAATAAAAAAGAACAAAAATAAAAAACAATCAATCGCAACGGCGCGAGTTTCGATGAGAATGATCACCAACCGTTTCGTATTCACTAGGTGGTTATAAGGGAGAGTGATCATCGAAGGACAAGAAGGTAAGAAACGAAAACACGAAGATCGATATATAAGAAAACGGTCGCTTGGGCAAACTCCGACCGGATATATATAATGGATATCTCTTTATTATCGTTGGAAGAGAAAATTTCAGTTCATGGGAGTTGGAGTTCATCGATGATGGATCATAACATAGTGGTGATGATTCCGATCAACAACGACAACAACGGTTAAGCTACACTACTACCCATCACCAGTAAAAGTTGTAGTAAAACTTCGGTTCCAATTGGTCCCCGTCTCTTCCCCTATCGCTATAAATATTTATTAAAACGATACGTTTATACGTGAACGACAAGACCGTCCGCAAGTTTGAAAAAAAACCGGGAGATTTATCGGAACGTGGTCTCGCGCCGACAGCCATTTCTGAAGCCTATCATACATCAAGTCGTGCTGCCTCCACGACGATCTAAATTCTTTCCATTACTTTTCGTGGGACTTAAACTCGTGAAATCCTTCACACTAATTTTGATATATTATTAATTTATGTTTTTCTTTAAATAATTTTCTCTACTAACTTGGTTTAGTAAACACAAAATGTTCAGTCGTTTTTGACGTGCAGTGGCAGTACAATGCTAATATAGTTTTCTTCTTGTTACAGATGATCATCGTTGGATTTAACAACAAACCTTTGAGATTTTCTTCATATGTTTATACATTAAAAATTAAATATAATTATTTAAAATTCTATTAGACACTACAACTGTACTATTATATATACTATGAAAGAATACAATACTCTTTGATAGTATTGTACCGTCGTCACGTCAAGTACCTACTATCGCCAACTGGTGGTCACGATAGTAACTACGATGAATCTGATTAGAAAAAAGGGGTACTTTTGAGTTTTTATGTACCTCTACACTCTTTGGAAAAAGTATGACACGTGCACGATGTATAAAATAATATACAAAAATTAAATAATACATTTACATGTGTTTTCTTGAATAGTAAATACTAAGCAGTTGTAAACTGTTTAGAATTAAGAAAAAAAAATTTTACAATACAAATATCGACATTCGCTTTTAACTAATTAATTCATATGTTTCTCCGCTAGATGGCACTAAACAACCAAAAATCGATTAATAGATACCTGCAAGTTGGGTTACCTACACACACAAAACTTTTATTAAAAATGTGATATACTCCGCTTCTAAAAACTGTTCAAGTGCTTTCTATGAGAACGTTTATTATAACGATCGCGTTACGTCATTAATTATGTCATAATGGAGGCATAAATACTATTAACGTATTGAAAAATTCACCATTTTTAAGGGTAAAACATAAAAAATTAGATTTTTAATATCATACATTAGACGAAATATTGAAAGTTAACTTGCGATTGTACTATGCTATCATTAGAACTATACACGTTATTATAACTAGATGCAAGTTCGTAAATGCACAACACGACACGATGATACGCCTACCATTTTTAAAATGAAGTACTGCTTATATGTGCTTACGGAGTACAAATGAATTAGAACTATTATTTTATTGATTAAATGTGAATACAATAAAGAACCATATTCGCACAATGCGATTAGTATTAGGATGTACAGGAGGTAAAATTAAAAGATTTACGAATACTAGAAATACTGTTATAAACTATAAAAATGAACCTATCCATACTAACCTCGATACTATCCTGAAATCAGCTGTTACAAGCAGACGATAAGCAGGTAACGCATTATCTTTTATATCCAATAAAATATGTACATATTAATTATTCATATTTTATTTCATTTTATACAAAATTATATTATATTCTTGTTATAATTCATTTTGTATAATTTTATATTATATTTATAAGAATGAAATACTTGATTTGTAATATTCCAAAGTCTTGCACATAAAGATTTATATACATATATATAGATATATATATATAATTAGAGCATATTTATGTTTAATATTAGTTATGTTAGATTTTTTTATTTATTTAGGATATGGAAATTAGTGAAACAGATGTACAGATAACAAATCGTCCTATTGACTTTATTTCGGTATATGTCAAGGAAGAGAATGATGAATGTGAAACAGACTTTAATGATGTTGAAATTATTGCTGCAGCACAGCATTTTTGTTCTATTGAAATAAAAGAAAGCAAATGTTACGATAAAAATTATAAACGAAGAGAGTTTAATATAGATAATGATAATAGCTGGGAAGATAGAAAAAATATAGATTCACCCAATTCTAATACAGATGCTATGCAATCTAGCGAAGCTTGCAATATTGGTAGCATTCTAACAGACTCTATTTGTCTGGATACATTAGATTCTGATGCTACAAATGATCAAATTAAAAAACAAATTAATCAGCCTTCCGAAGTTTTTGAATCTCAATCGGAAGATACAGAAACAAATTATAATATCTCGACTGTTGCTACGTCTAATCAATTTTTAGAAAGCTTGAGTCTAGATATAAAGAAAGAAAATAAACAATCAGGACATAAATCTAATTCCGATGGAATTTATATGACAGAATGGTTATGCGACGTAAACAATGATGCAAATCTAAGATTAAAAGTTTTGAAGAACGATAAACAAGAAGTACAAATTCCCACTGACATTGAAGCTACAATTACACCGATAGCTATTTGTAAAGATCAAACATTAGACCACAGTGGTAATTTGACAAAAGAAGAAACTAAAAAATACAATACAAGCAAAAAAAGAACAAAATTAAAGTCATCGACAATAAATGATTACGAAGAAAGATTAAGGAAAAAAGCTGAATGCATGAGAGAAAAACGTAGAAAGTTGTATGAAAATGAAAGTGAGGAACAAAGAATACAAAGACTTGCAAGAGAAGCTGCCAAAAGACGAGAAATGAGAATGTATTACGAAACTCCAGAGCAAAGAAGAAAACGACTTGATGCTGAGGCAGCAAGAAAAAGGCAATATAGATTGTATAACGAAACACCAGATGATAGAAGAAAACGATTAGACAGAGAAGCAGAAAGAAGAAGAATTAAGCGTCTCTCTTTATATGCCAGTGAATCTCCAGAACAACGCAGAGAACGATTAAACAGAGAATCTGCCAAAAGAAGAGAGGCTAGATTAAATCAATATGCAAAAGAAACGGAGGAAGAAAGGAAGGAAAGATTACGTAAAGATGCTTTAAGAGCCCGAGAAATAAGATTCACAAGAACTGCAGTAGAAACTGAAGAGGAACGTAGACGAAGGTTAGTAAAAGATGCTCTTAGAAAAAGAGAGGTAAGAATGCATGGAAATCATTCGGTAAACAGCGGTTTTACAGAACTTCAAACTGTTCGTAATTTTGAAGAATTAAACAATGCACAGATAAAAAACAATCCAGATAATCAAATAGGAGGTCATTATCTTAGTAACTGGATGATGTGGTTTCAAAATACACTAGCTCAGCCTGTACATATTGGAGACCAAATATTCGAATCACGTCCACAAAATAGTGGATAAACATATTATTCTCTATATTACTTTTTACTGACCAAATAAATTAAAAACTATTATAGACAAATAATAACTGGAATAAATGTGCTTTTTCCATACTTCTCACGCCATTTTAAAAAATAGTTATCAGACTGTTTTCTTATGTTTTGCTTACATTAAAGAGTATTTTAATCCATTTCAGTTGGAACAGTATTATCACTGATCTACCAAACTAGAAATGACTGTACAAGACTTATTAGTAATAATATTTTATATAATGTAAATATTATATAATTTAATATGAATTATGATTTTTTTCAATTTTCAAGCTTTGTTAATTTATGTAAATATATTGAGCTTCCAAATTAAACAATAAAATATTTATGAATGTGTGTGTCAAAGAATTTTAAATGAATATATGAAAAAGATATTATTGTTGTCTATTGGCTTTCATTCAATTTTTATTAATTTCTAAATATGTTATTGATGAATTGAACAATAAATTATATCATTTTTAATCTTAAGCGACACATATCATACATCCAAAAATATACTGATTAAAATATAAATTAGATACTGCTTTGTAATAAGTGTTTGTTAAAATATATATTGTAAATAATTAAAAAAACATATTATTCTTGCCAGTGCCTTTTGTTCAATATTATTTATCCAGATCATTTGATTATTATCAATGCTTTATCATATATCTGCGTTAATATTAATCTGTCATTCTGCATAAAGCTCGTCAATGGTGTGCGGATATACATAAATATTATGTACTTTTTACAATCCATTTATAATAAATAAAGATTGAGTAGAGATCTATTTGTTACTCTTTTTGCCTTTTTTTATTCCTTAATAAAAATTATTTAATGCTATATATATTATTATTAAGAATATACTAATATATATCAATTTGTATTATTAATAATTTATGTTAAATGAGTGTATCATAAAAATCATTTATGTCTATGAAACTGAAATCCTATTTTTACTATTTTATAATTAATATATCATTATCCTTCTTATATAATTATTTATTAGCTCAAAATTTTTGCTAGATCCAATTTACATCAATATTAAATTTAATTTAATAAACAATTGTTATAAAATAAAATTTATTTATATCAACATAAAAATCATACTTTTTTAGTTCTAATATATATATTTTCTATAGAGGGCTCTGTCGTTACGTGCGTGCATATTAGAGACCCTATAGGAGGGACGCGCCATACATATTGCTGGGGTTGCTATTGGCTGAAAATTTGGGGGGACAGCTTCCGATGCGCAGCCATGTTTATCTTTAGTATGTATAAATAACAGCTGTGGTTAGTTATGAAGATATAATACCCAGGAATCCTAGCTGATTTATTAATATTGGAAATTAAAAACAAATTGTACGAATGATTAAAATAATTGTAAATATAATATATATAGTAGATAATTGTATTTATCAAAATTGTATAAATTCCTACAAGTTGTTTTGAAATTTCAAAATACTGTAATGCCTTTTATCAAATCAAACTTAATTGAATCTTTCTTTTTGAATTTATAATAATTTTTTTGTGTAACCTATTCTATTTTAATATAAATTAAATATGGTTCATTTTTTTCTGTATTTGATGCAATTCATTATTTCATAATTTTTTCAAACCAATTCACCACTCTACCTCCTACACTATTCACTATTACTATATACAACTTTTATACTATTTAAAATGTTTGATTCATTCGCGCGCAATCACGTGACTATATAAGTTCCTGTTCCCCAAAATGCTTTGGCGCGTCCCTCCTAGTGCATATAAAACTGTTTACATCAGCACGTGGCTTTAATAGTATCGTGTTATTTGCATTGAGTCTGTATCATGTGCATAACCTCAAAAATTCAAATTTATTATTATACGTATTAATAATTGTACTTGTGCATTTGTTATTTATACGCATATAAACTATAAATTAATAAATAATCAGTATTTATACTTAAAACAGTCAAAATGAGTGTTAAAATGGGTTTAACAAAGCAATATTTGAGATACGTTCCATCCGGTAATGTGAATATAATAGCAAGTTCCCGGTGCAACGTGATTTTTGTAAAATTAGAAGGACAAGAAGGAAGATACGTAGCAACAGGAGCATGCGAACATATTATTATTTGGGATTTAAAATTAAATGAAAAAGTACAAGTTTTAACCGGAGAAAAAACAATAGTCACGCGTTTAGCTAGTTCACCAGACAAGCAATGCATTGCTGCTGGTTACGAGGATGGTATTATTAAGATATTTGATCTTAAATCTGGACAGGAAGTTAGTATATTTGCTGGACATCGTTCTGAAATTACTACATTATCATACGATGATTTAGGCCATAGATTAGCATCTGGATCCAAGGTAACATTAGAGAACAAAATAATATATTATATTTATTTTATATATGTGTTGATATTCTTGAATATATTTTTTCTTTTTTTTCAGGATACAGACATAATAATTTGGGATGTAGTAGCAGAAACAGGAATATGTCGGTTGAAAGGACATAAGGATATCATAACTAAAGTTATTTTTATGTCTAAACATAATGTAATTATTAGTTCCAGTAAAGATACATTAGTCAAATTTTGGGATTTAGATACAGAACATAATTTTCGAACTCTCGTGGGTCATAGATCAGAGGTACATATATTGATTACATTTTTTTGTAATATCGATAATAAGTATATATAAATATTTCTTTTGTTATTAACATTTAGGTCTGGAGTCTTGCATTAACAAAAAATAATCAATATTTAATTACTGGATGTCATGATAATGAACTACGTCTATGGAAATTGTTTTTCATTGATGAAGGAACTTCTGAATGTGATATTAATTTAGATGCCTTAAATATCGATGAAGACGAAACTACAGACATGGTATGTCTGAGTTCATTTCTTTTTTTTTTTTTTTTAATATAAAAAATGAATTTAATATTTTTATTAAAAACTTTATAGCAAAAGCATCCTTTAAGATGTAGTTGTGTTGGAAGTATTTTAAGAAGTTCCAAAGGAAGAGTTGTTTCTCTTGAAGTTGATCCATCGCAATCAATACTTGCTTGTTACGGAACAAACAATACAATAGAATTATTTCATTTCTTACAAGAAAGTAAAATACATGAAAATATGTCAAAAAGACTGAAAAAGAAACTGAAGAAGGCATCTGAGTATGTTTATGAAAATTGATAAATAAATATATTAAAAAATTTAATCAATTAGAAATAATAAAAAATCTATGTTTTTTTTTCCTGCAGAAATCCAGATGAAGCAAATACTCAATTGCTTAATGCGGCAATTTTAAAAGATGAAATTAAACGTTTACCCCAAATCAAAGTATCTCATAAAGTTAAAGGATTAGATATGGTTATGGGTAAAGGAAGTGAACTAAGGGTTAGTTTTATAATTAATATTATATAGGCTCTCTCTACTCTCTTTATTATTATTATAAAAAATTACTAATTATGACATATGTTTGTTGTAGGTTTGCGTTGGAGTCGATGATAACTCTCTTGATTTATATTCTTTATTAGTAGAAGAAAAAGAAGAACCCAAATGTTTACGTTCTATAAAAGCTCATGGACATCGTACCGATGTTAAAGTTGTATGTTTCAGTTCTGATAATCTAGCTTTCGCCACAGTAAGTGGTGATTCTATTAAATTATGGAATAGGTACTATTTTTTATATATAATATTATTTTACGCATACTTTAACTTTAAGTAAATTTATTTATTGTATATTTTTTTTATAGATCTTCATTAGCTTGTGTTCGTACGATAGAATGTGGACCTGCTTTAACAGCCACTTTTGTACCTGGTGATCGATATTTAATAGTAGGATTAAAAGCTGGTACCATGCTTATAGCAGATATGGCGTCAGGTGAAATTATAGAAAAAGTAGAAGCCCATACTAAGGATCTTAGAAGTATTACTTTATTCCCGGATATGGTAAATTATAATAATAATAATAACAAAAGATCATTTACATTTTCTTATAAAGATAATTCAATTAAATATTAATTTTATATATAGAGAGGAATTGCAAGTGGTGGTGACGATAAAATGGTACAATTCTGGAACTTTGAGCTTATTACTGATTTTGATAGTACAACAGGTGCTAAAATTTTATCTGTGACACATAGCAGAACTCTTAAACTAGAGGAGTGTGTATTATGTGTAAAGATTAGTCCAAATAATAGATTTGTTGCAGTTTCTTTATTAGATACCACTGTAAAGATATTCTTTTTAGATACATTTAAGGTAATTAATAACGACAATATTAATGACAGTAATATTTAATAAGATAATATATTTTTTTATATAATTAATTTCAGTTTTTCATATCACTTTATGGTCATAACCAACCAGTTTTATGCATGGATATATCCAGCGATTCTAATCTCATAGCAACAGGTTCTTCTGATCGTAACATTAAAATTTGGGGTTTGGATTTTGGAGATTGTCATAAATCAATATTTGCACATGGTAATTCCGTGACAGGACTTGCATTCGTTCCCAATACTCATTATTTTTTTACTTGTGGTAAAGATGGTAAAGTTAAACAATGGGATGCTGACATATATCAAAACATCGTGACCTTACAAGTAATATATTTCATAAATAATCAAAGTTTATATACATAAACTAGGAAATAAATATATATAAATGTTTTTAAATAGGGACACGCTGGTGAAGCTTGGACATGTGCAATATCACCAAATGGTGTTTATGTTGTATCTTGTGGATCAGATAAAGTAATAAGATTATATGAAAAAACTGCTGAACCTTTAGTATTAGAAGATGAAGCAGAAGAAGAAAGAGAACGTGCAGAAAATGAATTAATTACTGGAGAAATGTCTGCTGTACAAGGTCAAAAATCCCAAATATTACCTTCAAGAAAAACTGTGAACAGTGAGAAAGGGGTAAGAAAGAATTAATTACATCTTGAAAAGATAGTCTATCATTTTGGTTGTTGCTATATTGTAAATTATTTATTTTTTTTTATATAGGCAGAATTAATACTAGAATGTTTAGAAGTGGTAAAAGCTTATGATGAAGAATTATCTAGAGCTAAAGATTCTAATGCAGTAGAATTACCACCATTGATGCAAGCTTATAATTGTAAAACAAGTGAAGACCTATTCTTAGAAATTATAAAACGTGTTAGAGCAAGGTAAAATTGTAATTGATTAATAGATTTAATTTTAATAACAGTTTATTAAATTAAAATGTTTTTTCTTTTTCTTTTTTTTAGTGATTTAGAAGAAACTTTATTGCTACTTCCATTTACGAATGCGTGTGAGATTTTAAAAATGATGCCAAGATTATTGAAAAATAATTTTTACACAGAATTATTAACTAGATTGACTGTTTGTTTAATACAAGCTCATAATGGACCCATCACATCCAATCAAAATCTTTTAGAGACATTAGAAACTATAAAACCAATTATCTTTGAAAAGATAAATACATTAAGGGTAATAATTTATTTTTTTATATATAATTATTTAAATATTAAACAGTGATCAAAACAAAGATAATATATTTTCAGGATACTATTGGATATAATTTACATTGCATGTTGCAAGTAAAACGTAAGCTAGAAGAAGATGAAGGAGTACAGTTCTTTAAAGATGCGACTCAAAAGAAAGAACATAAAAATAGAATCAGAAAAAATAAGGAGAAAGCTTTAAAAAGAGCAATTATGGCTTTATAATATAAGCAATAGCACTGTGCAGTCATGACATTGAAGTAGTGCCATCTGCCATAGAATTAAAATAAAAAAAACATGTGTATATACGCATACTAAAATATCAAGTCTAATAATAATTGTGATATTTTTGTTACGTTTCTTTTAATTATTATGAAATAAAAATAACATAATTATTTAATTATTGCTAGACTATTTAAGATTTATCTTAACGTTATTACATTTTTAACGTTTGGTGGCGTTGATGTTTCGAATATTTAGTACAAAGTTCGACCGCTAGGTGTTAACACACCACCACCACGTGACGCGACACGCTTTAATCAGTTTTGTAACTTTAACGTGGTGGTTGTATTGTGTAAGAAGTACGTGTTTTCGAATAACAATTAAAATAAAATAATGTTTCTCTTAAGTTAGAAGAAGATATCAATTACTTTTTACGATAAAATAAGAGGTGTATACTTTTTTTTAATTATATAATCTAAAATTAAAATACACTATTAATAAACACGGTGTACGTTCCTAACCTATATTTTTCGTTTCAAGAGATCTTACAAATAAAAATCATAATGGAAGATTTTATACAAACCAGAGCTTCGAGACAATTAAAAAAACCAGTTGAAGAGTTTGTCTCGGTTACTTATATAGCTCCCAAAAAGAAAGCATCAAAATCGTCGAACGATATTAGTGAACAAGATAATGTTAACATAAGGACTGACAATGGTGATAAGTTATCTAATAAAAAAGTTAATTCACAGTTAGATCGTAAGAAGCAACAAGAATTAGAAATGAAGAGAGCTAGGTATGATGTCATCAAATTTGGTATTTCCGGTTTTAAAAGTGCAAAGGCTAAAGAAGCTAAAGTTGAACTGGCTATAAAATTAGGTGCAAAACCTCCCAAAAATCCAAATTTGAATTATAAAGTTTTGAAGGAAAAAAGGAAGAAAGAAGCTGCACGTCATAAGAAAAAAGAACCGATATCTGGACTTAATAAAAGTTTGATAAAACATAAAAGTAGGAACAAGTTAAAGAAAAATTCAGGTATTTTAGGAATGTATGGAAAAGTGCACAAGGATGCACTTGTTAAAAATAAGAAATAGATTTATAACCATAAACATTTAAAATATCTTTTGTTAACTCATCGTTGTCATTATACAACATCAATCATCTATGCCTAACAACGTCCTCTATATATTGTATATTATATAAGAAGAATAACGAGTAATAAAATAATATTTTCATGTATGTTCTTGGATAAATCCAAGTAAACTTCGAGCATCGATAAAACGGTATTTTTGTTTTCTGTAGTTACATTAAAAATATATTCTCACATGTACATTTGAAATATGCCATAGTGGAATGATAAGATCTTTAAAAAACCATTTTCGATGTTTTATATCGGAATCAATCGAAAGCAGCTGCTGTCGGCGCCACCTCTAATAACATTTGAAGAAAAGCATTTATTCCTTCTGAAATAATAAATAATAATAATAAGAATAAATATTTAATTTAACAATTTAAATGCAGTTATAAAATAAATTATTAACTTACCCATAAATTTCGGCACATATCCATATTTCACGAAGGGAAGATAAACAAACATGCCTGCGAAAATAAATCCGGTTGCATATAAGTACTCGATTTGAGGCTTGTCGATAATGGGAGCCACTATCAGGTACGCAGAAATTACAAGTACAAGTACGGGTATAATCAAAGGACATTTGTAAGGTCTTGGATGATTTGGTCTAGTTCTTCTCATCACCAACAAAGCTAACATCGATCCACCATAGAAAATCCATGCGGTAAAGGAAAAGAAATCAATTAAGGAATCTATATTTCCAGAAACGACCATTGCACCTGCACAAATTGGATTAGCATATGCGAAATTGTATTTGGTTCTTAGTATTTGTAATACTGATTTTTATGATGTATCGTTATTATACCTGCAACGATAGAATGAAATATAAGGCCTGGCGCAGGCGTAAAACGGCGCACATGTACATAACTCAAGCAATCGAGCAAGTGTCCTTCTCTAGATGCAGCAAAACAAAGTCTACCTGCCGCGAAAAGAGTTCCATTTGCAGAACCGAAAGTGCTTATAGCAACCGATAAAGGCATAAGCCATGCCATTACGCCGAGTATCCGATTACCAAATGTCTGCAAAGGGAAAAAACGAATAAAATTTGTAAATAATTAATAAAAATAATAAAAAATAATATTAAAGCCAAAAATATTCGTTTATCTTACCACAGCAACAGCTTCGCTTTCGATCATTTCGGTAGGCGACATGACCGCCAAATAAGAAACATTAATCAGCGCGTAACAAAGCGTAACAAGAGGTATCCCAATCATAATAGACCTCGGTAGATTCTTCGATGGGTCCTTGATTTCCTCCGTAACGTAATTCAAATTATTCCAGCCGTCATAGGCCCATAGACCCGTGTAAAAAGCGGTAGCGAGTCTACCGAAGTTAATGTTACTACCGTCCATGGTATCTAAGGCTCCTTTCAGGTGTTGCGTATTTCCCTGTATCAACTTGTACGCACCGCCGACGATAACTACAAGTATAGCAATAAGTTTCGCTGCGGTGAAAGCATTTTGTACTCCGGTTGCCAGATTAACGCTGTAACAATTCACCAGAAGTATGAGAACGATCGCAAGGAGGGCGACCAGCTTGACCACCTCATCGGGAGGATCGCAGTCCGCTACGAAAGCTTCAACGACGTATTGGGCGAAGGAGAGGCAGATTATCGCCATTTGCGATGGTTTCAATACCAGGGTGGATACCCAGGAGAAAAGGAAAGCCGGTGGTGCACCAAAGGCGTCCATGAAATAAGCGTATTCGGCGCCGCTGCTGGTGTTCATCGTGCCAAGCTCTGCGTAAGCGAGTGCACCGCACAAGCTTAAAAGCCCACAGGCCGTCCATACGAAAAAGCTAACCCCGACGCTGCCGGTTCGAACTAGAAGGCCCGATGGCGAAACGAATATCCCTGATCCGATCATGGTGCCAACGATTAAAGCCACCCCACTGACGAGTCCCACCCGTCTCTTGAGGTGAACAGCGTGGTTCGCCTCTGGGTCCGTCCCCTCCAACCCTCCGCTCCCTCCACCCCCGTCTTCGTCATCCCCCACACCTCCAGATTCGCCTTGTTGCTCTTCTTGGTGCCTCCGCAATTGTTGTTGTTGTTGTTGATGTTGCGGTAACGACGATGATTTAATCCCTTCCCATCCACTACTGTTACCACCGTTGCTGTTGTTACTCCGAGCAGCCCTTGATACGACCGTCGTTTCACCTGGACTTCCCAACCATTGAAGTTGTTGCTGTTGTTGCTGTGCCTGACTGCCGTTGTTCGTCTGCGGGTCATGTCCAACGGTAGCTGAAATATACAATTTTCTTTGTCAGTACAACTTAAAATCGTAGAAATATTTATAAAGAATTTTCTAATTGGTCACAAGTTATACGATACTATAAATGCATATACGTATTACATATACGTGTAGTATATATGTATAATATACTCGTATATAACGAACGAAAGTAGATTGCATAACAAAATGACACGTAAATCACGAACTCTAACAGTGATTCCTTTGTACGAAAAAATAACGTATTAAACGAAACGTGAAAAATATTACGTTCCAGCTAGATGATCTCCTAAGTTTAGAGTTACCAAGGATGAACTACGTGATCAAACTTCATGCATAATTTTTACTACGCGACGTATAATCCTACTTTGTCTTGAAATAAGATTAGATACTTTAAATAATGTATCAAACAACCGAAAAATGTCTTCTTCATTCTTTATTGAATGAACCCTTTGAGCTAAAGATGTACCAAAAAATTACTTCGAAAAAAAACTCTGAAATGTTAATCGGCGAACACAATAAATTTTTCTTAACAGGTGTCACGAATGATATATATATATACATATACACCTGTTATTTCAGTATGTAAAAAACAATCTTATAAAACATCTGGTTTGAACGTTATTTATTAGTAATAACTGTGCTAATTATAGCCGAATCAAGATTACCGAATAAATAATAATATATTAATAATAATATATTATTAATGATATATTAATAATAATATAATAATGCTTTTATAATAATATTACTCGAATCTCGTAGATACTCGTCAAATAACGTGGCCGTTTTGTGTCGCATCCCTTCACCGACTGACCGAAGTAACGTTTCTTCAAAACCGAGAAGGAAAATTAAATGGTGCGTATATTTGCGTTTTTGTAGCACGTGACAAGATATATGCTATTATATTTATTGTCATCGAATAGACGTCGCAACCATTATGGTTCGTATGGCAGACTGCCAAAATTCGTAACTTGCGAGAGTATTTCGTTTTCTTTCTTGTCCAATGATTACGATATATATATATATATATATATTTTGAAGATATTTTTCTGAACTAATTTGTCAAACGGAAAGAAATATTGTTTTTAAAACCGATATTGGTAAAAACATATATATTTAAACATTTGTTAAGAAATTAAATATAATTAGTACAATTTACGTTATCTATGTTTAGTAAAGAAATGTTTTAAGTAAAACATGTTAAGGTGCACACTTATCTCAACTGTGACGTATTGATTTATTGATCATTCGTCAAAGAGAATTCTTTATCGGTGGCCACATGTAAAGAAAGATTGCGTTGTTTAAAACGATATTGAAATAATTAACAAAACGCTTACGTAGCTTTAAGCATAAACTGAAATCAAATCTCAACGATGAGATATTCTTTGTATTCTTTTATCAAATCCCTTTCTTTATTTCACAACATATATATGTAAAATCATAAATTTCACAATTTAAAATATGAATAATCGATCGAAATTTCTAAATATATGAAATTACAAAATATAACAAAAATAAAACGTCGTACCTTCATTCGAACATATACATTATGTTATAGTCGACAGATTTCAAATGAGTACGTTTCTACCGCTTTTAAAAGAGTGATGACGTAAATGATCACCTTTAAACCATCGCTTCTAAGTAATGTTAAGTCAATATTTATGAATTCGCTAATACAGCAAATATTTCGATATAATATGCTTACATATTCTCTAAGAATTCATCTTTCTTCCTTAAAGTGGAAATACAACAAATTTTCAAACATTTAATCGTTCAATTAATTTATCGATTAATTTCATTCAAATTAATTCATTGATAATAAACAAATATATACATATATATATATATATATTTAGATTAATTTATCGATTAATTTCATTCAAATTTAATTCATTAATGATAAACAATATATATATATATATATATCATATCATCATTTATATTATATATTATAGTATATAGTAGTATATTTAAATATTACAATATACATAGTAGTATATTTATATTTATATATTTAAATATATAATACTTATTTCTATTTCGAAAAATAATAATGCGATAATGTCGGATGATAAGAATAAAAAAGAAACGAATATTTTTTTTTAACTCGTAGTCGATCGTACGAAAGAAAAATAAAAAAGGATATAATTTCATATACATTTATTTTATCTACCTATGCATATTATATATATATATATATATATATATATATATATATATATCTAGTGTATCGAAACAAACTCAGGCAGAAAGTTGATCATCTCCATTAGACATGTTTTATACACACGGGAAAATCAAGCACCACCTTTTATTCGCCAAGTATTTACTATGTAGATACGTTCATCGCACATCATTCCCGTTCGATAATTTAACCCAACGTATAAAACGTCATAGAAAATATATATATATACATAATATTCTTCTATATTTATGTTTTAACAAGAAATAGACTAGAAATAGAGTCAAGAACTATACATTTTTTTTCCACGTTTTTAAAGGTAGAAGGCTAAGCGTATAGTCAATATTACGACAAATAATGTTTCTATCGAAAGGTACTTTCACTGACCAAAGAAATAAAGATAACCAGATAATTTCATTTGTACAAGGACATGAGTTTAAAAATAAAAAAAGGAGGAAAAATTATATAAATTACAATACATTTTCGACAATAATTACGATATTTGTTAAAAATAACTTAACGATACGCGTAATTTGTGGTTTTACCAATGACACGTCATACTTTTTTTATTTTTTTTATTTACAAGATAATAAACGCTCTTAAAATTTATGTATAGTTATATATATGGTAACATGACCGGTCACGTTATAAAAGTAGTTAATTGAATGATAGAACTTTAAATTCTAATACGAAGCGACAACGAGTTAAATGATAATTGTTATAAACGAAGACAAGAAATGTATATACATATATATATAACACATATATATAACACATATATGTGGATGAAAATACGTATAACAGGCGTCTCTCTAAATTCCATTAAAACTCATTGTCACAAAATCATATCAATGAATCAATTGCAGTTAATTCTCGGTGCCTCGTGAGGATCTCTACCTAATGCAACATCGACTTAAAGAAAATATTTTTTGTTATATATACTTAGTAGAACAAGGTTAAAATAGAACATAAAAATATATCAAACAAAATAAATTACGAGAAATTCTATTCTTTAGAATTCATCGAAATGTTTCTCCTCTCTCTCTCTCTCTCTCTCTCTCTCTGTCTGTCTGTCTGTCTCTCTTTCTCTAATAAAACCTTCAAAATCAAATAAACACGAATTAAATTTGCATATTGGCAAAGTTAGAGTTTTAAAAAAGAAAATATACGAGAGTTTATTTCTTACAATCATATCCAATTTAATAATAAAAAAATAATAAAAAACATAACCCTCATTATCGCATCAATTTTCATCGTTAAATATTTATCTAATCTATGTATACAATATGACACTGTGACATAAAATAAGATTATCGATAATTGAAAAAAGAAAAAAAATGAAAAGGAAATAAAAATATATTAGTGCGATAATAATCGTTAGTGGTATTAAAAAGTGACACGCATAAAGTTGCATTTAACATAAGACGTAAAACGTGTAACAAGTTAAGTTCTCTCTTCGTAGAAATACTTAAACAGATTGGAATGTCTTTGTTGGATGAGAATGACCAGCATGACCAGCAGCATATAGTTTCGCGTGTAAAGAATAATCAGCTTAAACGATAGGTCGAAGCCTCTTCGATCAGTTTATATACATACATCGAAGATTCGTCCGATCTATTTTTGTAGAACACAATTCACGTGTTATATATCTTTAGTCTGAAGATTCTTTTAAGAACTCGTCGAGATCATCATTCGCGCATTATGGTTAGTGAAAAACGATATCTAATCTTTGTTTATCGATTACTTCCTTTTCTTTTCTATTTTTTTTTTTTTTTTTTTAATTTAATTTTATTATCGATATTAGATCGTATTAACATTAGATATACCAGACCAGTCATTTTAATTCAAAATTTCTACTTCATGTAACATTTGATTTCTGTAAATAATTAAAGCGTTTTGTTATTTAAAAATGTCTATAAATCCATTTATCTATTAAAATTATTATTGTTAAACATTTTTTGTTATTTTTTAAGAATAAATAAATACTGGAAGCCTCAAAAAGCATTTTTTTTTTTATACACCAATCATTTTGACTATTGTGGTAGAAATAGATATACTAAAAATGGTGGTATATCTAGTGTTAAATATCAAGCAAATATTACGGTCTGTGAAAAAAATTCTGCTGCTGTTTGCTGCACTCTTTCTATTCCGAGATGATATTCGAAAAGACAAAAAAAATAAAAAATAAAAAAAAAAATAAGGTAGAGAAGATAGAAAAAGACGATGGTGGTTGAGATATTTTCGAAACGTTGCCATCGCGCGTTCTGCGCGTTCCAGAAGTACCGAGTTTCTGGTTTCGTGCTATGACGCAATCGTCGTAAGTTTTAGTGCACAGTGCTTGCACACATTACATAATAAGCTCTTTCCGAGACTAGTTTCGGATAATAGATCAACGTAATTTAAATCTAATTCGTCTGTTCCTATAAAAGAAAAAAGAAAGGAAAAAAGAACAATTCATTTTTTTTCTTTCGATCACATTTTTAATTGAATCGATTCAATGTCCTTGTACGCGTAATTTGTGATTGCGACTTAATTTATTTCTTTAATTTTATAATTACATTTGAATTTGGCGCCCTAAATATAAATAATTTCATTCTATTTAATTCAAAATTAAAAAAAAAAACACATTCCAAATATTTTTATATATAATTCTATAAGAGAGACTTATTGTTATATAGATCTTTTCAAAAGATTTCACGAGAAATTATAAATTTGTTTTGAAAATACACGTAACACATCGAGGACAACAACAACAATAGATCCCCGGTGTGTTACCTATAACAATTATAATTAGCTCGCCAAGGCAAACAAATAGGAAGTGGATGGCTCCAACAATGGATCTTGGCACACACGTGGTTTTAAACGTCCGATGACCAAACACAAATTATTGCTCCGTAACGACCAATAAATGTTTTTCTTATCATCAGAATGACGATTTAAAAGAAAAACACACACACACGAAACGTTACATCATAAAAATACTTATTACACGAGGAAAGCAATAAGAAAAAAACCCATCGATAAAAATCTTGCAAATGATTTGAACAAAGATAAAAAAATAAAAAGGAATACGTCATATAATTGAAATAAAAGGGTTAGCCTATCGTAGATGAAATTTCGCAATCTAAAAATTGATCGAATAAAATGCCAGTGACCTAGTGAAAGTTACATAAAAAAAAAATGGAAAAAAAAAGCGCGCGAATCATTTCCAGATTTCATTCATGTCTCATTGACCAGTTAAGAAGAACCACTCGAGTAGGGTTGTGTGAAAACGTTAAGATAAACGAATGTTAGTGTTTAAGAGTTGGTTAGTTTAGAAGAAGTGGGCGGGCATAAGGGTCTATGCTTACCTCGTTTGAAGGGCGCGACATGCATGACTTCAGGAGGGACCGATTAAAAGGGCGGACCGTCAGACCGCCTCTCATGACACTATACGCCGACTTTTCGGTGCAACCAGTTGGTCCTTTGCCACCCCCGCTTTGCTACCGATGTCAATGCCTTCGAAAAATTTCACAGCCCTATTTTGTCACAGCCCCTTAGCGAATAAAATTATCCGCGAGCCCTTTTTTTTTTCTTTTTTTTTTTTTGCTCTTTTTGCGTGCACGATTTTTCTCTAAACTTATGTTCTCTTTTCTTTACAAGCTTTACGCTTTTATCTCACTCTATCTAGGGGGGGAGGTCGTCTGGCTGTTTTACCCTTTTCTAAATTTGATTTCTCGATAATAGAAATAAAATAAATTTGTTTTCTTTTTTTGTTTATATGTATATATATATATATATATTTCTTTCTTTTTTTTTTATGAAGTTATATTTTACTTTCGTGTCGCAATATTCAAGTATTCTATTTCAATGTAGTAATAATACCTAATTCGTAGTATGTTAGTTTTATGTTGTCTAACGTGTTACGATCCGCGTCTTACGAGCTTTCGCGCTCAACTGGGCGTTCGCGATACGGAGAAGAAGGATGAGAGAGAGAGAGAGAGGAGAGTAGCAATGTGGTGGAAAGATGAAGGGCGATCGGGGCACAAATGGAAGGATAGAGATGAAAAGAGGGTATTTCGTACGACGAGAGAGACCGAATAACACCGGCGTCGGCGCTTCGAGTCGCTCGATATTCATCCCCGCTGTCATTGGACTCTTTCTAACGGGTAGTCATGAAACTGTACGAACTATTTTTACGTCTACAATCTCCTGTTTTAACTCTTGTTATTTTTTTGCTCTAGAAACAAAAAAAAATCTAAACGAATGTCGAAGCAAATTTTTTCAAAACGATCATTATCTTAAGTTATTTTCTTATCGAAATATATCAACGAATTGTACAATCGATATTTTATATACATTTTTAGTTTTTCTTTTTCTTATCGCGTCAATCAACGCGTAGCTTATAATCCCTTCCATAGTAAAATAATAATTTTATATATGCTAGATTACAATCTTTCGAATTACGTGACTTTCAAAACGTACAAACGATTAAGATAATTCTAATAATTAATCTGACGCGTATCGATGCTACGAGATATGCTCATTGATAAGGATACTAATTGAGATTGGTATTTTTTTTTGTTTTTTTTTTGTTTAAATATATTTGTGCTATATATCGATATATCGATATAGAATTTTATATTCTTTGAGTATTTGAAATTGATCTTAAGATACAATGACGTAAAACTCGTAAAGAAAAAATATTATTAAACAAATTGACGACATCGTTAAATAATAATGCTTAAATTTTCATTGATCATACATTATCTATTCTGTAGATAATTATGTTAATGATGTCGATTTTTATTTATTTGTCCCATCTGCAAAAATGAAAAAACATAAGTTATTACCTGTGAACCTATTTCATAAAAAGTTTATAATAAGAATATCAACATTTATTTATTTCCAGGAATATTCATTTACATTTACACATCTTTAATTTCTTAATCGTAATGTACTGTACATTCATTTTTGACGAAAACATTTAATCTCTCACGTTTCTCTTACATCATATCCATATCATATCATATATCATTATTTATAAACTTATTTATAAGGAAACATTTTTAAAAATGGTAATAAAAATATAGATCACGCACATTTATATTGTTGTATAGAAATGTAAATTGTACGATTTCTCAAATTCTTTTAGTATCAAAGGTAATGTTTTATTTTTTTCAGGAAGCTCACCACAGTCATGAAAATTAAATTAATTTATTTGTTTGCTTCATAGCACTGTAATGACTTATGCATGTGTATATATATATATACGTATATTATATATATAACGTCGTTCGATGATATCTTTATATAAATGCTAGACCGTCCGATTTTATATACTAATAGCTTCCAATAAAAAATAATTACAATATTGTGCAACATAGAATGATTGATCACGCGAAATGATACATAACAATTAATTCTTAACGTGTTAAGATATAAATATAAAATAAGATAATAACCTTATGGAATGTCTCAATGTGCACTGATGAAATAACGGTAGACAACAGTCGCTAGTAGTCCAAGTAAAACAGGAATCAGCCAGGATTTCCAAGAGCCACTGCAATAGCCAATCATCACATGACTATGCAGCAACTACTATTTATACATATACATGTAATTTAAAATAAAATTGTCTTTATTTCATTCATTTGAACAACACATGGATGAAACCAATGGAATTGAACTTCTCACCACCATTTATATGATTAAAGCCAGGATCAGACTGCTTTGCTTTAATACTTTTGCATGTAGTAAAAATAAGTATTAACAAGAAACGTTTTATAACTAATAGCAAAATTTCATTAGCATACCAAAGCCATGAAAAAAGCAACCCTTATGATGTATATGAAACAGAATCTTATTTTAACAAGAAATAAATAATAATTAAATTGACATGACAAAAACATAAATATTATATAAGAATGTATAATACATTCTTTTTGATAATATCTTGTATCTACATACCTAGAACTGTCTCCATTTGAAGTTCCATTTGCCGAATCCTGTTTTTTTTTATTATTTTTGGTTCTTTCTTCCTAAATTGAAATTACAGAAGTATATAGAAATGTTTTATTATTTCTATATAAAATATTTATACAATGAAGATATTAATTTGAATCTTATTTAAATTTTACTTACTTCTACTAATTCACCTATTTTATATGGTTCCATCATTGCTCTTGCATCACTGGAATGACCAATATCTTCAAAAGGTTCTGTTCCATCTTTTCCAGCATGTTCCAAAACAACTTCTTCACCACCAGGATGCTTCATTGAAGACAAAAAAATATCTTATTTTAAATGGCAACTTTAAACCGGTAAACTTTAATAAAAATTATAAAAGAAAAAACTACAAATAGGTTAAATATTATTATTCAAAAAATTAGTTACAATGTTACTATAAAAATTTCATCAAGAAAAAAAAATCATTTAACTTAACATATTAATATAACTATGAATATAATGTAAATAAACTTTTTGAATAATATAAAATGTCATATATTATAATTAATATTAAAAAATGATTACTATAATTATTATAATATTACGATACCTGTTTAACAAAATTGGTCACATCGTACACTTTATCGTGAATAATTATCCATGCACTTTGCGCAGTATTATATTTTTCAACTTCTGCACGCGTATAATATTTAACTGTAGAAGCACCAGTATCATTTTCGGACGCCATCCTACTATTCTATATTTTACAATATATCTTTAGGCAATATTAAAATAATAAATTAATACTTGTATAATTAACTACTGTAATATCTAATCTTAGAATGATTTTATCCTAAAAGAGATAACCATTCAAGACTAAAGTCTAACGAGGACCTCTATTATCAATAGATAACTATTGACATTAATGAATATATATATATATATATATTCCAACTATATGTCATGTATATATGTGTAGTTATCATAGATGCTATAAATTTCCAAGAAAATCTAGTGATGCAATATATACTAATTTAAAGGCGAATTTTCACGGATCATATGATTAGGTAATACATGCAATATCGTTTTCATTACTATGGCAAAATTATTTACATTGCTATTGGTGGATAAAAAAATTGAATTATTATTAATTATTTAAATTTAGAATTATTAAAATAATGAAAACTATATAAATCATTCAAGAGCTATATATCTATTAATTAGTAAATATACGTAAATATATATGTAAATATAAATTTCTATATAGTGATAACAAATATAGTGAAAAATTATCTAAGTTGGCAATGTTGCTACAGTTAAATCCATACAAATTCAAAAATCGCGTAACGGTAACAAAAGTTTACATCGTCTTTCTTTTACTTGACTTAAGAATTTATTTTGATATAAAAGATTTTGTAAAACATGGCAGAATTCCGGACACCTGTTAAGACAAAATGTAGTCATTTAATTGACAGCAATTTATATTCAAATCCCATTGAAATTCCAGCTTCTCCATTTTTACAACAAATAGGGCACGGAACTGGTATGTACATTTAAATAAATATTTTTATAATTTTATTTATATTTATTTATAACTTTGTTAATTTAAATATGTTAGGGGTGGATATTCTTAAATTTGAAAGATCTCCATCAGTTGGTTTTGTGAAATCACCATGGGCAATCAAAAAAAGAAATAAAAAATTTTGTGGAGGTAAAGACTATGACAATCGTTTAGAATTTGAAGCAAAATTATTGAAGAAATTAAATCACCCAAATATTGTGGGTTTTAGAGCATTTACATTATCCTCCAAAGGTGATCCATGTCTTGCCATGGAACAACTGGACATTTCTCTGGGTATTTTATAAATCATTCATATTCTAAATAGATTATCTTCTCATAAAATATAAAATAGAAAAAATTCATAAACAAATATAAAAAGTTATTTTTAATGAACTTCGCGGCATAGAAAAAGCTGCTTGAAAAGAAATGATCTCCAGCACTTATTCTTTTTATTAATTGTCTTATAGGAGATTTAATTGAAAGTAAAGTTGACAAAGGAGATAACATTTTTCCTGCTAAAGATATTTTATATGTAGCTTATGAAATGGCAAAGGGCTTAGATTATCTACATAATACTATGCATATTTTACATGGAGATATGAAGAGTTTTAACGTTTTAGTTTCAAATGATTTAAAAAAAGTGAAACTTTGTGACTTTGGAGTTTCTGTTCCACTGACAGAAACTTTAGAATTGAAAGATACAAAATTTAGATACGTTGGAACTGAATGTTGGAGTGCACCAGAAGTATTAGGTATATCAATATTTGTATTAATAGTTTCATACATGGTCATGGCTATTTTATAGAATTGATATTTGGTTCTTTTTTTTTTTTTTTTTTATAGAGACTGGTCCTATAACAGATAAATGTGATATATGGTCATATGGTCTCATCTTATGGGAAATGATCGCCTTGTCTCCACCTCACGTTTATTATGATCCAAATGAATTGCAAAATAACACTGAGGATGAAGAATCTTTATCTTTAAAAGTTGAAAGTGATATTGAAGATCAAAGTCTCGATGATAGTTCGTCATTTTTTTTCAAGATGGAAAAAAAATTTGGTAAATAATTCTTAGATAATTTGATGAAATTTTTAATGAATATTTACAGTAAAAAATATTTTTCTAAATGTTTTTGTTTAGGCACACGTCCGCCATTACCTGCAATTAATCTAGGTGTAGAATATGAAAATGTATTAGACATATTTTATACGTGCACTTGCAATGATTACAAACTGAGACCAAGTGCAAAAGGTTTACTTAATTATTTTTCAGTATGTAAACTTATTAAAGTGTAAAATGATGTCTTCAATTGACTTTTTGTACAAAGAACATAACTTCAATCATATAAGAATGTTTTGTGAATATTTTGTTTACGAATAGAATAACATATAAGTTAAATTTTAAAAAAGAAATTAATTGAGAAATAAGATAATTAGTAGAATAAAAAATATTATTATCCCAACGATAATACAAATCTTTATTTTTCTCTGAAAAAAAAAAAAAAAAAATAAGAAATTTTAGTAATAGACTCTTATATTAACGTGTTTAAGAAAATATCTATTATGTTTACTTTTTTATATCTGCCACTCCTTTTCTCTGCTCTTTTAAGATTTTTTTTACCACTTTCAACATCATCTGTTGTATTTTTTGCAAAATATTCTACACTGTTTATCTGCTCACCCTATAAAAATTAAATATATTTATTATATATATATATTCAAACATGTATAGTATTAGTAATTACTTATATTCAATATTATTGTACTTACTTGTTTTTCAATAAGAAAAGCTGTTTCAGTAAACATATCTTTAATATCATGAATAGATTTTTCCAATTTCAAAACTTCATTATGCCGTACTTCTATAGCAGACAATTGCTCTTTGGTAATTTTGCTGTCTTCTAGGATCTACTTATGAACAATTTGTAAAAAAAAATCATTTATACGATTTAAAACATCTTTCACAATAACAAAAACTGTTTGTAAAATTACATTATGAATACTCACATTATCTACAAATATATTATTTCCATGTACGCTATCTGGTTCATCTATCTCATATGTCGTATGTTTCTTTACTGAATAGAAATGTAATTAATTAATTATTTTTAACGATATATGTTATATATATATGAACATTTAATTGATTATTGAATTGATTTTTGAAATAAAAATTTTAAATATTTTGTAAATTGAAGTTAATGTCTTTGACTTGCAAATAACTTTTACATTATTATACTATGTATATAACTTACTTAACATTCTCTGTTGTTGCAAAAGCTGTAAACATTTATCATGATATCTTAATAATGATGCATTATAATCCTCCATAGTATCTGAAAACATCTTTAACATAGTTGCATATTGTAATCGTTTGATTCGTATATGAGCAGGATTTTCCTTTATATTATCTGTATTAAATGAATCTGTAGCAGCTATACTTTCCTTCATACCTGAAAAAATGCTAAATAAATAGGTGTACATCATATCCGGCTAAATTTATTTATAGGTATATATTCGATTTACATATAGTAAAAAATAAAGCCTTTTTTGTTATCATGTAAAAATGGTTTATTCTATTTAAACAGGTGTTTGCCGCGCATAATAGACCAAAATGGTAGACAAGTGTAAAATAAATAATTTATTTTTTTAAAATATACAAAATAACAAGTCAATAAATGTCCATAATTTTATTTATTTATTTATTAGTCTTTATTTATTCAAATGTAAAAATTCTGAAAGTCTAAAAATAGAAAATTTATAAACAAATACATCAAAGTAAATTAATTTTATCCATGTATATATATATATATATGTATATATATATAGATTTTATAACGATTATGATTGGCTTCTTGGTTTCCCTCCTTTAGGTGAATGATATCGTTTGTTCCAGCGGCAACTGTATTTTAAACGAAATGTTATATCACATGTATTTAATAAGTATCAGTTTTTGTGATATCAATTGGAACAGGAACATATATTCATTATCTATAGGTGTTCAAAGAATGATAACCTGAAGACTAAGCTTGCTTTATCGAAAAATGATAAATTGAGGTTATCTTCTCATATTATACATCATTTATAAATAGTCATACAAAACAATTTTACTTTATTCTTATTTCTATGATGGAGCTTTTACAAATTTTTAAGAATTTTAAATTGCACGATTTGAACGATAAGTGGGTAAATACTGTGTGGGATTCACAATTCTTAACCTATGAAGAACCACCTCAGGATGATTACTTTAATTTTATTAAAAGCGAGGATATGGATTTATTATTACAAAACACATGTGAAGTCGTCAAAGATTGTCTTGCTGAAATTGATACTTCCAAAGAATGTAATAATGAAGAAGGAAAGATTTCTTGGGATGCATTAGTAAGTTTGAATATAAATGTGCATGCTTTGTTATCGGTTTTACACTATATAATTAAATCCGGTCAACATGACAAAGCTAGCAAAACAAGTAAACAAACTTGTTTAAATGCTACAAGTTTATATTTCATGTTATTAGCCATACCTGGAAGTCATGCATTTAATATATTTCATCCAAATCTATATGAAAAAGCAATTGAATCTTTGAAGTTGTGCAAGCTCCTAATTCCAACGAATAAAAAAGGAAATAAAACTGTTCATTTAGAATGTATGGATATTAGTGAAGATGAATCAAATGATCATGTTTATTCGCCTTCCGAAAAGATTTTATTGATCGAAGGTCTGGAAAGTATTTTGTCTGATTTCATTGCAATGATTAAATTATTTTCATTTCGAACCTATTCAGATTCATTAGATATAACTATCTTCATATTACTTGAAGTTATTGATATTAATCAGTTTGAATATCAAAATACAAGAAATAACTTGTTTTGTAATGCTTATACAGCACTTTATGAATTATGTGATAATAAACACGGACCTATCAATTCAACTATTATGATAATAGTAAAATACATACATCCTTATTTCCTCTTTAATAAACACAATGATCATCAAACGAAATTAATATCAAATATGCATGAATTAACAATAGATTTATTAAGAAAATTATTAGATACTTATGAAAAAGAAACTAAGATTGCTTTAATGACATTGATACAATATATTATGGTTAAATGTCCAGAAAGACAAGAAGCTCGTCAGAAGCAAGTTACATTATTATTAAAACTTCTTACGATATGCAAAGGAGACATCATGGTGTATATTATTAATGATGTAATATCTCTTTCACATCATACGAAAGTGTCCTGTAGAGTATTTGCTCAAGAGATCATTGGAAAACTGTTACTAGAATCTAATTTAAGTAACTACAATTTAATTGAATCTTTTCAGCAAAAGAAAATAATAAAAACATTGATTGCTACAACATTAAGTAGATGTATTGATTCTTCTAATATAGTAAGAAGCAAAGCTATGGCAATAATTGCAGAGTTTACGGACAAACAAAATAATATCACTGATATGATCGTTGAAAACACATCTAAAGTATCATGCTCAGATGAAACACTTCCTTTATTTGATGAATTAAAAAATATGTTAGTAAAAGATGTTAATCCAATAGCATTGAATGTAGTATTTGTTATGTTAATAGATCGAGTAGAAGACGAAAGAGCATTAGTAAGAAAAAGTGCACTGCAAATTTTCAAAAATTTGACTATTAAGTTTCCCATACTGACATGTCAAGTTACTCCTATAATTGGTCGTCGTTGCAGAGACCCTGTAATGACTGTACGTCGTTTTGCTATACATATATTATCTGTTATTTTACAATATTTTCCTAGTGATTCACAAATTCTTAACGAGTGGATAGAAACAGTATTACCACAAATATTTGATACTGAAATTAAAGTACAAGAAAAAGCACTAGAATCTTTCCAAGACTTACTAATAAATAAGATAACAAATCATTCCAATTATATTGATAATGCATTAAACAGTTTACCATGGAGAATCGTGGATAAATTAATTGATATGAAAATGATAAAACATTTATCAAAAGCTTGTGAAATATGGATTAAAAATAATCTTATAAATAATTCTTTAATCAAAGATATACAATCACATATTGGATCAACAAATGATAGATCTGCATGGGTTCTTTTAACAGCAATATCTGAAAGCATGAAACTACCAAATTTGAATAAATATATTGGCAATTGTAAAGATCTTATAGAAAAAAATAATTATCATACAAATTTAATTTTACAAATATTGAAAAATTCTTGGTCGTCTTTAAGTAAAGATGACATGAAGGATTTGTATAAATATCTTTATAAATGCCTTCGTGAATTTAAAATTCATTTTGGTTTAATTGGTATTTGTCTTGATATCATTGGTGGAATAATCAAAAAATTGCACCCTGACGATAATAACCAATTAGTTCAATCGAACATGATGGAATTAATGGAAATATCAGAATTACGAATACAGAACATATTTGAAAATGATAATAAAACAGTCATAGATATATCACATTTCATAAAAGCTATGTCTACATTAGGACATACTGCATTTTCATGTACTAATAAACTTTCATCATTTACTTTACGTATTTTGGAAGGCATATTACTCGAATCGGAAACATTACCAGATTCAATAAAGGAAGTAAAAGAATTACATGCTTTTGCTGTGGTTGTACTTGGGCAACATGCAATCAGAGATTATAAAATAGCACAAGAAGTAATACCAATTTTAGGTAGACTTTTGCGTACAAATATAAATCACAATTCAAGCACAGAAGTAGCAATAAAGGTGAATGCTGCAAAAGCTTTAGCAGATCTTTGTATTAGGTTCACTACATTAGTTGAACCTTATTTGACAGATATGTGTATTTGTATGAAAGATCGAAATCCTATAGTAAGAGAAGCTATTGTTATAATATTTATACAATTATTGTTAGAAGATTTTATAAAAGTAAAAGGACCATTCTTTTTTCATATATTAACCATGTTATTTGATCCAGATAAAATGATACGAGAATTAACTATTTTTTTAATTGAAGAAAGACTTTTAAAAAAGAACAAATTACTAATTTCACAAAAGTTTTTGGAAAGCATATTTCATTATAATAATTATCAATTTAAGCACGAATTATATAAGCGTAAAATGCGAAAGGAAGAAAAAGAAATATTAACATTTCCTGGAAATAAAAATCATAGTAACAGAACAATTATTTATAATTTTATGATAGACCATTTAGATCCTCCTGAAAAAATAAAATTACTTGTAAAACTAACTACGCAAATACTAGGTAGAATTTGTAATGGTGCAATTAATGTTACAAAGCAAGAAGGAGCATGTGTTTTAAAAGACACATTATATATACTTAATAATGAGAGTTTACAACTATTTCTATCATCTAATAAAAATACTATAAATTCTCAAGATCCAGATGATTCTATAAATCCATTAGATATATTAACTGCTAATGCAATAACTGTAATTATAGAAGGAATGAAAAGGCATGGTTTAGAAGTATTACTGCCAACATTATTAAAAGTTAAAGAGAAATTAGAAATTTTAAAATCACCTTTAAAACAGGATCTAATGAGATTTGTTTGTAGAATGTGTACTATTTACAACAAAGAACAACTTACAAATTTGTTAAATGAATATCCACAATTGGAAGAAGAAATAGATCAATATAAAAAGTATATCCTTAATTTCTTCTTTTCTATATAAAGATATTTTATGACAATAATGTATTGATTACTAACGTAACATTACATTTCAGAAGTGTTGATAAAGATGTAAACATGGAGACTGATAATATTGAAATACATGAAAATTTGGCATCACATAAGAATGGTACTGAAAATCTTGAAACCAATATACAACTTTCAATTTGTAATCGTATACCTAAAGTTATTTTACATCGTATTTCACCAGCATCGCTTAAAAGAAGGTATTCCAAAATATTATTTTTCGATATAATCAATAATTCATAATCTCAGATCAATTTCTTCAGATAATCTATCTCATTTAATATTTAATAAGTTAAGTAACTCGTGTATTTTTAGCCAAGAATCTAAACCAAGTACAAGTACACCCAAATTATCTGACAGAAGATCCAATCATAAACGTAGTTGTATATTACCAATTAAAAAATCTACTAAAAAATCTCATTCTCAGGAAATGGTATTAAATCATAAAGTTATAAAAAATAATACAGAGCAAATTGAAAGTGATAATGATTCTGAATAGCTAAAATAATAAATTTTATATTTAACAAGAGAGGTGGCAATAATAAAAAATAATATATATATATATATATAAGAATTATACCTACCTCTTAATTTTTGTTGGATGTGAAAAGCCGTTTGTGAGATGATTTGAGTACGAGTTTCAAGTTCTTTTTGCAAATCTAGAAATAATGAGATAAAAATGGATCTTCAACTAATATTAATATTGTCAAATAGAAACATACCTTTGCTTGTGTGCGATAAAACATTATTATGCAAATCCTTAACAATGGATATATTTTCCATAAGCAATTGTATTAAACCACGTACTTCTTCAACCTACATTAATATTATTTTATATTTTTATTATCCAAGTATCATATAATTATATATATATTAATTCATTATACATACTTCCATTAGCACTTCTTTTAATTTTTTATTTTGTGCTATTTGAATATGAACATCTTGCAAAAATCCTCTGCCGAACGTAGTACTGCTATTACGACACTTGAAATAAAAATACATATATTTATATAATGTTCTTATAAATTAAACAATAATATGATTAACATGACTAAGTATTTAAGTAACACAAGAATAAGATGAATAAGCACAAAAAACAAAGTAATATTTACTGATAAGCTTAAAATAAACTGTATTTGTATAAGACAACAAAATATTACACATTCATATGTGTAAGCAATATTAATATACAATTCTTAAATTATATAATTTTGAGAAAAAATATAAATATATATATATACTAACGGCACATAAATCCGGTAAACGATCGCGAACCATGATGAGTATTGTTTCAAGATCAACGTGTAACTGACGATACTGATGAACTGAATACACTTGATATATATCTCATTATCCATCTTATCAGGGCGTTGCAGGTAATAGATAAAAGTTGATATTCCATTTATTTCGTGAAATCGGGTGTGTAATTTAAATTTATGAACAATTTTTCCATGAACATCCTTGGCATAGTTTTAATTTAAAATAGATCGTCTGTGTAAATGAAGATACTTTGCATCTGGAATGTAATAGGAAACAGCCACTTAGCAGCTGAGCTACAAGGCCGAAATTTAAATCAATTGCGAACACGTGTTTGCCTTCTTCATCTTAAGTGAAAAGCATTGTAATCCCATTTAATATACTCTGTGATATCTGTATCATAATATGCATGATGCATGCAATAACTTTTTTATTTGGAAAAAAAATATATATATATCTTAAATTTTTATTTAAGAAAAAATATTGTATAATTTTTTCTTTAACTAAATACAGGTATATATATATATATATATATGCAAAATATGAAATTATATTAATATAAATATTTAACACTAGATTTACGAATTGAGCCAATTTGACTCATTGAACATTTGATTATTTTATATATTTATAAAATTTAAATACTATTTTTTGAAAACTTATTGGTTTTTAGTTACGTAATGAAATATACGTAAATATTAGTTCAATTCCTTTACTCAATCCTTTATTCAAACAATGTTATTACGTCATTAAAAAATAATGAACAAAACATCCGTAAATCTAGTGTTAAGGTATATAAAACAGAGAAAGAGAATATTTATTAGATTTAGTTATATATATATATGTAAAAAGAGAGTATAACTTATCTTTACTTTGAGTAACATTTAATTTTTTATTTTATTATTTTATTATTAATTATTAACATTAAATTTAAGCAATACTGTGATATTTTAATAAAATAAAACTACTAAATAAGACTTGGAACATGTAATGTAACGAAATATTATATTAGAATCTTTATTATACCTAAATGTATATTTATATAGGTAAAAATATAATTGACAAAGTTTATATATTTATTTTTTAATTATATATATTCTTTATATAGAATAATTATAATAAATATATTATTATTATTATTATTATTATTATTATTATTATTATTATTATTATTATTATTGCTATTATGAGATTTCTATATTATAAAACAAGAAGCTCTTTACATTTTATATAATGTAGAATCATTTAATACATATTAATACACGATAGTAAAAAAATACTGTGCTGCTATAGTGATATTCATTGCATTTTATTATTGCATTTTATTATATCTATCATTTAATAACAACAATGTGTGTATAATTTTTAAACTATCTCAAAAATAGGGAAGACAATCAGGGTGGTGCAGGTAACATGATATGATAAATCAGAACTTTATCAAGCATTACTGTTAAATATTAATGCGTGGATATATTAATTATTTTAATATTATTTAGATGTTTTCAACTATTGATTGAATTGTTGAGTATATTTCTTAAAAAGAAATATAAATTAAATTACTCTGCTTTAAATTGATGACATTATGTTTAAAAACAAAATTATAAAGTTATTATGACATTTATGCTTGGTCTTGTCTTTTCATTGACACTGTAATATATAGTACATTTTTATGTATTATTACGACACAATAGTATTTACTTTCCCACCGGTGGAAAGACATACATTTTACCAATTTCTAAGTTTCATTTCTACGTGATATGTTTCAAGGCAAATCAGTCAGTCTTTTAAAGATCTTAAATCTCACGAGAATCATTACCACGTGTATACCACTATCAGTTTCTTACACTTCTCAGACTGCTAATAAGCACTGAAACTTTGTAAGTTTAGTTACTTTAACAATTACTGTATATAAATAACAAAGTGTATACATAAAAAATAAATATATAACTTTCAACAATAAATGTATGTATATCAATTTTTCAAAATCAAATATATCTTCTGCATATGCAGTAATTAGTTTTAACTTATTAATCGTTAACAATAACATGAAATTATATTACTATGCTATATTATATATTATACTACTAATATTAACAGGAATAAAAATGGAATTTCTGAATTATCACTGAATGTTTACTATATATACTGATTATCTTGTTAGTATCACGCACAAATTTATGTTTTTATACGATATTAAAATTGCACTTGATCAATATTAAAATACATAAGGAGTATTTTACCTTATGCTAATGTGCGTACACTTGCACATACGTTTATCTGTATGATATCTTTGAAGACTTGAAAGTAATCTTTAAAAATCATGGATATTCTTTTTAAAGTATAAATAAAAAGATTCTAACATGCTGCGGTTCGTGTCCTTACTTTATCTTTAAGATAATTGGCAACTTGAGTTTGTGAGTGTCTAACAGCTAGTTGAAGAGGTGTCACACCTTCTTGGTTTACAAGTAAGGGATCAGCTCCTGCTCCTACCAATTGTCTTACAACTGTCATGTGTCCTGCTAAAGCTGCAGCATGTAGTGCACTTTCACCATTCTAGAATAACGCATAGATATATATTTTCTCAAATTCTATGATGTATATTATAAAATTATCATTGTTTTGTGATCATATCAAAGTAAGAATATTAATATTTATACACTTTTGGTTTTAATTTATAGTTTTATGAAGTGCATAGACTTTTATATCCGTGAAGACAAAAATTTGTCTACTTATTTTATTGAGAGGAATTGTTTGGTAAAAGAGTAATAACTTTTATAAACACCAGCCACAAAGCAAGATAAGCAAATTTGCAACACTTTTGTGTTTTATATAAAATTATTTAACTTACAGGAAGAATACCAAGTGAAGGACGGTATTTGAGTAACTCTCCAATAACAGCCGTATGACCTTTATGCGCTGCTTTAAATAAAGGAGTTGCACCATCCTATATAAAATATAATAATTTATTAAGGAAATCATATAACATTTACAAAATTAATTAATATTTGATGTTGCAAAAAAACTTACATGTCTGGTAGCATTAACATTTGCTCCGGCTTTCAAGAGTTGTCTGACAATATGATCATGTCCCATCTGCGCTGCGATCCATAAAGGTGTAGCACCATCTGTTCTTATAGTATCTATTCTTGTATTATGCTCCAATAAAACTTCTAAAATGCGCACATGACCATTTTGTGCAGCAATGAATAATGCACTAGCTCCATCCTTTTATATTAATAATAGTCATTTTATTTAAATATAAAATCATTTTTTATAATAATAAGTTTGCTTACTTTCATATGTGCATTTGGATTGGCACCTTTGCCCAGAAGACCTTCGACAACATCTAAATGACCATATTGACAAGCTACGAATAATGGTGTACCTCCATCCTACAATTTATAGGAATGCAATAAATATCATTGATATTTATAAATTTTTTCATTCGCTTACCATACTGGAAGAATCAACGAGTGCTTCATGTTCTAAAAGCAAATTAGCAATGTCCATAAAACCACCTTGGGCAGCAAAGAAAAGAGCTGTGGTCCCTGTCTAAAAAGAAAAATACCCTACAACTAAGTTAAATTAATTTAATGTAAGCATATACTTATATAAATTAACAGATTATATAATACCAGTCTTTTAGCATTAGGATCTGCTCCTTGTTGTAATAGTTCAGTGACAGCTTCTATATGTCCTCCAGCAGCAGCAAGTATCAAAGGAGTAGTTCCATCCTTTTAAATTTAAAGTTTCTATATTTATTTTGTTATATTAATTAAAATTGTATACATTAATAAATGTTACACAAACCTTGTCTTTACAATCAACATGAACTCTACCAGAATCAAGTAATATACGCAAACGTTTTGCATCCCCATGTGCAGCTGCAAGATGCAATTCTACATCCCAAGGTGATTCTTTCTAAAAGAGAGAAATGAAAAAAAAACCTATTACACAACTTTTTTATCAAATGTTAAAATCTAAATTATTTAAGTCACTGAATAGAACTATCATTTTTAAATTTATGAACTAAGAAACGTACTTTCATTGACATGTTGAGTCACGCATTTATTGCACGTTCACATGACATTTTCGAACGGTGATATGTCAAATCCTTGAATTATTTCGTTACTATTGCATTGTGCTGCAGCAAGTATACTTTCGTCTGTGTCCACGTGTCAACTTCGCCCATATCATCTTTGTAAGTAACATATGATGTATTATGTGTCACCTCGACGACTTTTTTGCACATTAAAATTCATTATTTTGACGAACATTAATTGTACTAGCTTTTAATACACTGCAATGCAACAATCAAAACCTCCATTTAATCACAATGACATAGTAGCTAAATAGACTGTACTATCTATACAGTGTTGTCAGCTTGATATAATCATTTTCAATATGGCGCTTTATTTAAACTCAATTTTAAATCTTTAAAACAATAAGTAAAGCAATACAATTAGTTAATTATTCAAGTTATTAAGTGCTACAACAGTAATCAATATACATTTTAACAGGATAAGTACCAAGAAATAGATATATACAGTATATACAAATGAATAAACGTAAAATAATTGATATTTTTAATAATTAATAAAAATCGACTGAAGAAAAAAAACAAAAATGAAATTAAAAAAAAAGTAAATTGAAATACTTCGTATCACTGAATATGTTATTTGTTTATTCTTGTAGAGAACGTTTCTTCGATTGTCCGCGGAATAATAATTCGTGCAACATTGTATGTGATTCTTCATTTTTATATACGTGCGTTGCATACACGCGATAAACGCATTTATTTATATATACATGCAGGTGCTTACTTGTATGCATTTAGCGCGCGTAAAACGAAATTTCATTGTATATGGTCTAAACACATACACATACGTTTCTCCTGCATATTTCTTGTATAATAGTCACATAAACAAGTCCTATAATCGTAAAGTTTATCAAATTACAATCAATCAAGTTAACGTTAATAGAAATTCTTCTTTTTATAAAATAAAATGCACGTAAAAGAAACAAATAAATAAAGAGAAAATCGGAGCATTTGATACACAGGAAGATGATTTTACGAAGGCTTTTAAGAGGGGCCTGATTCGGACTGATGCGATTGGTGGTCTTAGCGTGTCACGTGGTGGCAGTTTACGTGGGTGGGGGTCGGAGACGCGGCACCGCGGGCGAAAGCGGTGAGTTTCGTTCTAGTATTTACCTCGCAGTGCGAAGATACTTTACTCATGGTTGTTCTAGCGTAGTATTCTCTATAAACTGATCTGTGGGTTCTGTGAATCAGGTAAATAATCAAATTCAACGACCTATCGAGAATAACGGCAAATATTATATTACGATGAATGTCAAGTGACAGAATTGGCGAATCATGACGCGGACGTTCGCCATCTTCACAAAATCGCGCGAGTGATCGGTTGATTATAGGAAAAGGAAATATTTTTTTCTTTTCAATTCTTTCTTCTTTTTCTACAAATGAAGAATTTGAATTTATTATAATAACATTATGTCAACGTTCCTCGATCATTTTTCACCTTACGGTACGTTCTTGGATAAGTTTACGACTATAAAATAAAAAGGTGATTTATAGAAAGATAAAAAAAAGAGAGAGAAAGAGAGGGACTGTTAGTAAAAGGGTAAAGGTAATAAGGACGAGAAAGAGAGAGAGATAGTGAGCGCAACACCGTGGGATTGTGGAATGTGCGCGCTTACTTTACTACAGGTATCGGACAGACACTCTGCCGCGCATTACCGTAGCGTTTCGGAATTCTCCATGCGTTTCTAACCTCCTTATATCCTTTTTCTACTCTATGCTCCTTTTCTTCTTTTCTCCGCCATCTCCTTCTGCTCCTACCCGATGATCGCATACTACCCTCTCCTTTCTCCTTTCTTTTCTTCTCTCTCTTTCTCTTTCTCATCTCATCCTACTCTAATCGGTACGTTATGTCCTACGTATTTATATATACGGTGTCCCATTTCTATCGATCTATTCCGACAGTGAGTAACATCGAAATTCATTCAGTTCATAAAAAAAAGAAAAAGAGAAAGATAAAATATTTATATAACGGTTAAACAAATACAATCGATGTAGATATTGAAAGGATACTTGAAAGATAAAGTTTTTTAAATGACTTCATTCTTTTCATCATTTATAATTGTATTCTCATAGATCGATTAATATGTAACACCTGTTACCTGTTGTATTTGAACAAACAAACATACATATATTTCTTTGTATGTGTCACGCGTGCATTTGGATTACTTATATATATATATATATATATATATATATATATATATAT